CTTCCGGTATGAACTCCAGGTAGCACATATCTGCAGTTTAAGGACTTCATGGAAGCAGAACCCAGATGACATAAGGTCCTGTATCCTGGCAACTTGACTGCTGTTTCTGCCATCCAAGCAAAGGACACTCGACTCCACAGTGAAAACCAGCACGAACAATGCACACAACATTGTTGCTAATATTAGTAGCAATCCAATAAACCAAAAATGACATTCTTTCTGGGAGTTGATATGAAGCTACAGAAGAGTCCGTTCTATCTTTAATTATGGAATACAGCACATTAGTATCCCTCATACTTGGTGTAATCAGATCCAATTTTTAAATTTGGAAAATATTTAACAACTGTATGAGTACATATATAAATGTGTACTCTTATGTTTATACATAAATACTATATATATACTTTTATATATGGATGTACACTCTACACATACACATACATATTTACATACATACATGCACATATACATACATACATATTTATTTGTACATTTATACATTTTCCATAATTTCTATTCATGTAAAATATATATATAGACACCCATTCCTCATCTTTTTGGTCTTGAGGTAAGTGCACAGACACATTCATAGATTCCCATTATTTGTTTTAAATGTAAAGATGAGAGTCATCTTTCAGAGGATACAATCTTCACATAATAATCAATATATTCTGTGATGTCCTGTTGCTCCATCATTTGACATTAGCTGTCCAGGACCTGGTCATTATGATGCCTATAATTTTAGCAATTTCAGTCAAAGCTGAATTAACTCTCCAATTCTTTGATCAGGATGTGATAATCACCCTAGTGACCAAATGATGTTTAACTACACTGATTAAATATATTAGCATAAGAGTAACTACCTTAGAAAATTCAAACTTGAACTCTGTATGTGCAAGAGAACGTATTTCTTGGGTAAATTCCATGACATAAGGAATAATTTTATTCTTCAAATATTTTATATTTTTCCCCATCAAAATGATCCTCTATCCCTGAAGACAGGGCAAAACAAACATACAGCCTTCTAGAAGTCTGCTGAAGTTTAATAGTTTATAAGACTACAGTTCCTGACTTAAGACACAGATTAAAAATTACCATTAAACTCTTACCTACATCACTCAGAATCCATATTCTAGTCAATCATTTCCGATCTCTTGACATTCATACTACTTATGTTACAGTCAACCAGTCAACAAGTATTTATTGCTCTACCATACTGGCAAAATACTCATAGCAGGAATAAAATTCCTCCTAAAGCCATATATTATAGAAAGGGATCATTAAAAAGAATCATTGCATGAATAAAGGCAGAAACAAAATATTTTTTAAATATTTCTTGAAAGTTCTTGTCAATATTTCCTCCCATTACACACACAATAGAGAAATCAAAAGGATTTCATCAAGATTATTTATTTAGAAGAAGCAGTTTACCTAGGAAGTATGCAGATGATTTTGTAATTGCTATTTGTCTTTTGAAGTTAACTTTTTTCTAAATGGAACTATAAGCTAAATGCCTATCCTTGTTTCATAAAGTTTTCTGTATGGATTATAACTAAATCAATTTATTTCAGTTAACTATGTTTACAAGTGTGAAATGCAGACATTGTAAAAATTTTTAAGTCACTAATGTTAGATTTTAAGCAAATATAATGTTTGAGCTACATTTCTAAATCTCAATTTCTGGAGGAAGAAAAGCACATTTCCCATCTTTGGGAAAATAAAACACTACAATTTTAAAAGCCACAGAGGGGTTTTAGGGCAGTGAAACTATTCTGCATGATATGATAATGATGGACGTGTGTCATTATACATTTGTCAAAACCCATGGAATGCACAACACAAAGAGAAGTTTAATGTAAACAGACTTTAGTTAATAGCAATGGATTGGCATTTTGTCTCCTCAATTGTAGCAAATGTTAATATGAAGAGTGATGTATGGGGTGGGGGGTTACATGTGAGCTATGCTCCCCACCCATTTCTCTATAAGCCTAAAAGTACTCAAGAACGTTTAAAGTCTAACATAGAGAGTTCAAACAAAACTAATTTACCTTTGTATTGGTTAAAACTCAACCTGCAAAATGATTAAAATAGTTATAAATTTAAATAGTTTCAGAAATTATGTCATTATTGATGTTTTGATGACCTGTGTCCTATTAAACATGGGCATCAACATGTGCACCTTACTCATTTCCTAATTTAAATGTATATATCTCTGTGTTTGTTTTAATTCGAAGCTTGAAAATGACAGTAAACACAGGCAAAACAACATGTGTAGATGTCCATCCATGCCCCCCACAGTACAAATCCAATCATTCATTTATTAATCATAGGGAGAAGGCAAGGGGTAAAGTAGTGCATTGACTTGGGAGCTGTCACCATTATCTTACACCTTATACAGTGTTATCTATGGGAATCTAACAAAGTGGCTTCAGAGGTATCTTAAAAGTAAGACACTCTTAAAATGCAAGATAGGTAGGAAAATGATGACTCAGTCACTAATATCTATGCAAATCCTCCTAGACACTTGGGAGAAAAAGGAGAAGTGTTAGTAGCAGGTGTCATTTTGATATTTTCTAGCCTGAGATTTTTACTATGGTTACATTTACACATCTGATGACCTTAACTGAATCCCCAAGGAAATTATATTCAGACCACAAAAGTTACACATCTTTCAGTCAGAAATTGCCATTAAGTCCCAAGTTCTCCACAAAAGAAATGGGATACAAAGAATGCTTGAAAAGACTCAAAATGTCAGTCCAATAAAGAGTACTATGATGCACCTACTATGCATTTAACACAAAGATAACTCTCACTTAAAACCATTTAGGAGACCGGGCATTTAGCTCAGTGGTTCTGCCACCTGCCTTGCAAGTGGGAGGATCTGAGTTCGATCCCCGGTACCAAAAAAAAAACATTTAGAAGCATTGGTACAGGGGTGTCAAAAAAGTACCAATAACCCAAAGAGAAAACAGAACTCAGAAAAGTTTCCAGGAACCTGGAACTCTTTCCACTAGAAAATATGTTCAAATTATGAATTAAATTGTAAGACCTATTCTAACAATTAAGGCAAACAAAAATTCAGGAAAGGAAATGAGAGAACGTATAATTTAAAATACTGTGCCAAGAGTCTGAATGTTTCCTTTCTCTCAAAGTCTAACAGTAGTCAATCACTCCTAGTTCTCCTAGTCAAAAGCCAAAACAAAACAAATTTTAAGAGGCCTCAGAACAAATAAACACAAAGCATAGGTCAATACCTCAGTTGTCTGGATTACTTTTCTCTCATTTAATGCACTTGCTCATTGTTTTAAGGTTTCCTTCCGAGCTTGGACCTTCATTTTAAAAGTCTGCAAACATTTTCAGTCACTACTTTTCATAATTCCCCTCACAATCCCCCAGTTAATTTCAACTCACTCCAGCTCATTTTTTATTATGAAAGACTACTTTATTTCAGAACCTGATTAGGAAAAACAGAAGCGTTCCCCTCAAGCAATTCCTTTTGCCAAGTGGTAAAAATTAAACTCTCCAAATGTGAACACTGATGTGATTCCAAATGTTAGAGCTCCTCCCTTTTCTGCAGTTCAAACAACTACCCTATTAGCACAGATCAGATTTTTTAAGTGATCCCAGCCAGCATCTCCTAAACTCATAATTGTCACACCCCCGAAGATGTTAACTTGTCATTGAATGGGTCCTGATAATCCAGCCAATTCAGGAACAACAACAAAGGAAATTTTAAATAATTTGACAGTTGAGACCTACATTCAAACTGGGAGGCAATGAAATGAATAGAAATAAAGTATTTGCAAAGTAGAAGTCTTTCTGTAAAATAAAATCCATTCTAATTTACAATCTGTCTGCAGTAGCAGTCCTTGAAAATTTTATGTGTCTCAAGATCATCTGGATTATTTAGCAAACCTGCACTGCCCACAACTTGGACAATGAGCTTGTTAGGAGCCCAGGACAAGCGCCTCACTCACAAGCACCTTCATGCTACCACGAAAGGCAAGAACAGCACGACCTCTGCTTGCTCCTATCTGTCTCATGTCTCCTATTGCTTCACTCTTTCATTTGTATGTATAACATATGTCATTATCTCACATATGGCATTATCAGCCCAATACCCCAAAGCTGCAGAGAAAGGAATGAAAGCAATCTTCACTGTCACTTGCTCCCTACAGAAAGACTTTTTCTCTGTCACTCTTTCCATCATAAAGTAAAATTTGGGGAGGAGTTGAGGTCCTATTATCTCTCATAAGTATGATTTTGTCTTCTAGCTAGAAAATAATACAAATTACTTGTGTTTGCAGCTGATTCTTTAAACTTAGATTTCATTTCCAAATTTAAATACTAACCTACCACATACAGCTGCTGGCTAAATTTTTTTAAAGGAATGAAAGAAAGAAATGAAGAGCCTCTGGCCCTCCTGCCAAACATACTCCTCCCTGGATGGTCAGCACTGTTCTTGGGTTAGTGCAAAAGTGATTTCTTCACTTTAGTTACCCACAGAGCTCACCTAAACTGTCCACCTATCTCAGTTCATCACTGTGTTATGCAAGTTGAGACCAGTCATTACATGTTTAGAAGGACCCAATAGCTACTATGCATTCTCCACAAATTAAAAGTCTGTATCACTTTCTACCAAAACTTACTGGATTCTGATCCAATGTATAGGATAGTTGGTCTTTTTTAAATTTTAGAAATTAATCATATTCAGTGTAATAAAAAATGTTACTTCTGTTAAAAAATACTGTACGCTACTGTGAATCCAAGGAGATAACATGATTCTTAGAACTGTTTAGCAACATATTTCTTTCAGTTCCTGGCCTGTTGAAAATAACTACGTATATCATACATAACTTAACTCTAAAACAGAGCTGAGTGCTGAAAGCAGTTTTGAGTAGGAAGAAATGCCAACATTTAAAAGAAAAAGAATTAACAACCTTATATTGAGCATGGATAAACCCAGGAAAGTAGAAACTGTCAAAACTTTAGGCTCTTACCAGAAATGGGCTCCAGCAAATGCAGGAAACACACATGATAGCCAGGAGCTGGATGACCATTTCGAAATGGTGAGACCTGCCTTGTCTGTGATGCTGGCTTTTAAATTTAACTCTTAAGAGTGTAATTCCTGTGATGGCATTGCAAAAGAATGAAACACCAAGGGCTAAGAGGCCCAGAAAAGAAAAAAGTAGGAGATAAAATCTATCTTCCCAGTCTTCAATGTCTTCGGTGTTGTAGAAACACCAGGTCCTTGTAGCTTGAATTTTATACTCTTTGTGCCCAAGAATGGGCAGCAAAGCTATAAAAACAGCAAACAGGCACACTCCACTCAGCATCATTTTCACATGTTTGGATGTAATTTTTGTGGAATGAAATATCGGTTTGGTGACACCAATACACCGCTCAATGGCCATCACACTGCCTAGAAAAAGTGGGCACAAGCCAGAGAACACCATGCTGATACCAAAAATACTGCAAAGGATGTTTGACTGATCAAAGCGGATCCAGTCTTTATCAGATGCATATACAAACACTGCTATGGCTCCGTTGATGAGATGGCCAAAGAAGTCTGTGACGACCAGCCCGCTAGCCAAAAGCAGAAACGACGCCTTGGACTTCTGTCTAAACCTCTGGTACGCCTTCATGAGAATGGCGATGGCCAGGCTGTTTGATAAGATCCCCACTGTCATGAAGATGATTGAAAAAAACACCGAAAGCCGGTTTTCCGTCTGGCAGGTTGTGTTCGAAAGAAGCGCCGTTGCAGGAGACGCTGGCTGCTTGGAGTTGTTCATGGACATCGTTGTGGAGATAACCGCTGGTCCCTCAAGTCATCGCCGTTTCACAGCTGTGCAGGCTCGCAGTCCAGGCATCTGTGGGATAAGGAGAGAGGAATTATGAACGCCAAACTTCTGGCCGTGTGATATTTAATAGACTGAAGTGTCCGGCATGCTGTGGTGGGGTCCGATTTGTCCAGCCTATCATGAGCAAGGTTGCGTCATACTGACAGCAGCGCCCATCAGCCTAGGCTTCGTTTCCTTTCCAAGATAAAAAGGTGCCAAAATTGAGACCTCTTGGTTAACCTCCTTCTACAAACAGCTGCCTCCTAAGTGACCTTCTGACACTTCACTGACAGCTTAAAACCTGTAGGGGTTATAAGGTCAGTAATAAGATTAGATTTAAATCCATTAAAGTTGTTGAAAGCAGAACAATCTATTTAACTAAACCCACTTTTTAATTTCTTTTTTCTTTTCTCTGATGGGCTTTGTCCCCAAACTGCAGATTATTTCCTCAGTGAACCACCTGCCTGTCACGCAGATAGCGATCTTCCCTAAACCTAGGGAGGGAGGGGGACCAGCAAACTCCCTGATGTTAAACAGAGCGTTTCTCAATTTGTCCCTAAAACCTAAATCACACAGCAGTAAACCACACGCCACCGACCCACAGAAGGCAGAGCGGTGAGAACGTGGGAAGGAAGGATCCTGGTGCGGCCCCCACCTGTGCAGAGAGGCCGGTTGGTGATGCGGAAGAGGCGGTCCGCGCTCACCCGGGGACGACTGCAGAGACGGGGTTAAATCACAGCTCCGGTGAGCTCGCGCGGGCAGCGCCTGTGCTAAAATACAGCTTCGGGGCAGCAACATCCAGTGCGAAGTATTCATTTGTTGCTCTTTCCCTAGGGAGCGGAGGCTTCAGTCACAGACGCTAGATACACAGTACCGTGGCCACCACTCCTGGAGCTGCTTGGATCGGGCGCCAACCCTGCTGCACCACCCGGCCCGAGTGGAGCCGCTGGGCCGCTCCGAGGGAGCCGCCACCCCAGGTCTTACTCACTGACTTTCGCCGGTTCCTAATCCTCGGCCCCAGGCATCTGCTTGCAACATCCTCCCTAACCCTACTGAGTGGCTCAAACTTTCTGCCATTACTCAAACGCCAAAGGCTGTTTCCCTCCCACCCTGGGGGGCGCCAAAGGCCAGCGCCGCCCGGGTGAGGGACGCCCGCGGAGGGCGCTGGGAGAGATGTAGATCTCGCGCTGTGCCCGCTTCCCTCCTCTGACCCCGGCTCTACTGCTTCCCCAAGGCCCAGCTCAAGGTCGGAACGGGGTCAGCCCTCTGACCCTCTCCCTCTACAGGCCTCAGCAGCCCAGGCGTGTGCTCCAAACTTGTCTCCAAGCGCAGCCCGCGGCAGTTACCGCCGGGCGTCTGGCGGGGTGGGCTGCTTCAAGCAGGGTCGAGCTGAGCATCCACAAGCTGACGCGAGGGGACCTGGCAGCGGGGAAGGTGGTACCTCGAGGTCCGCGGCCGCCGGCTGGGCTGTCGGCGGAGCCTGGAGCGCGCCGCTCCGTGCGCCATGGCGCTCAGTCCCGCGCAGCGCCGCCCGGGTCCCCAGCGCAGCGCCCGCTCTGCCGGGCACCGCTCGCTCCCGCCGCCGTCTCCTCCGCCGCGCTCTCCTTCCCTAAGGCGCAGCCCGCCGGCCGCCGCCGCCCCTCCGATCAGCCGCACCTAGTCGCGTTTGCCGCCTGGGCGGGATGCAGGGCTTGGGTGACCTCCGCCCCTTCCTCTGCTCTCTCCTCTCCGCCCCCTTTTCCACCGGCCCAGCGCGCCACAGGAGGGACTAGGGCACCAAGCTCAGAGGCCACGGCCGTCCGGTGCTCAGCAGAGCTGCCTTCCCACAGCCACATCAGCTGCGGGTAGCTTTGTTTTAATTAAACTCGTGGTCAAGCGAAAGGGGCCATTTCTGAGGCTTCCAGACGGAAGGGGGAGAAAAGTCCAGCTAGTGAGTGTTGGGTTGTCAGATGGAGCTTGGAGACTGAACTCAGTTCAAATCCACCCCTTCAGGCACAAAGAAACCAGGTAGAGAGAGGCCTGGTGTTTGAAGGAGAACTTCAGACAGGTATCCCCAGGGGGTGAAAAACAGGTGTTCTGGCCAACTGTTGTGAATGGAAACACAGCCTCAGGGTCCACCCTCCCTCGGACAGCTGGACTCTTTCCAGCTGCCTACAGAATGAGAAGGGAAAGATACGAAGTGGGACTGAAAAGTACAGTGTGTGTTTAAATTTAAAAATGTTTTACAGTAAAAGACACATTGCCTTTATCCTCCCCCCCCCATAACACTTCGCCTAGCTTCGAATGCACTTATGCCCTCGTTCGTGCCACTTTGTGAAGCAGTTCTGAAGGGCCTTTTTCATGAGTGGCTGCCTCGAGGTCCAGAATCGATTCAAAACATTTACTTTTCATGGTCATTTTGACTTTGGGGAAGAGCTAAAAGTCACACGATGTGCAAGCCCGTGAATTAGGTGAATGAGGACACAGCGCAAAGTTTTTCCGCTCCTACCTTTCCGTTGGATGGCACTAACCAGCCGCATTCACTGTATTTTTTATCATATCTCCCAAAGACACTCACGAAAGAGGACTTCCAGAACTGCTTCAGAATGTGGCAAGGATGATGAGATAAGTGTACTAGAAGCCAGGGGGTGAGGAAGTATTTAGACTTGGATTAAAACCAATGTGTCTTTTACTGTAATAATTTTTTTTTAATTTAAACATTCACCGTACTTTTAGATCACCCCTGTACATTCTTGAAGAGCACTTACAGATAAAAGATTACTAACCTCTTCACGGTTACAGAAGTTCATGGACTGGTGAGAGAATTTCTGGTGATAAGTATACCCAAAGAGATGTGCATCTGACAAATTTTGTGGAGATCAATTTTTGATAAGAACTGTTCACTTTATTAATGATGTGATTTTAGCCATTTATACCATAATTGCTTTTTCATTAATATTACACTGATCCTTTCCTATTGACTTTGTCTCATTTTTTCCTGTTAAACTCTATGTGAATCTATTACTGACTTTTGCTCTTTATATTTTAGTAAAATGTTGCTACCACCTTACATGAAAAACTAATGCCACATAGAAATAAATTCCACTTCTTCATTCTTGAGTCACAAGGAGCCTCAAATTCCTGGAAATTGGAAAGGATCATAAAATGCAAACATGACATAAAATAAATTACCTATTAACTGTAGAAAAGCACAATTGCACTGTTTTCTACTGTGGTAGGTATTGAGATTTTTTTTTAATTGATATGATCATAATTTGTAAAATAAACAATTGCTGGGATATGGTCAGAGAATTGAATGTTTTGGTTAATCAAATGTTTTGGTTGGCAGGGAAATCTTACCCCTGGATGGCCAATATCCAAAGAACTGTGTAATAAGTCACACTCAAAATGTGAATGACACAGGGCACTACTATTTCTTTTAATGATTAATAGCAATTAATCACAGTACGTTGAAATTATTAGTTTGCTTATGTCTCTCCCCCACTGAAATGAATTCCTATGGAAGTCTTGTTCATCTCTCCCTCCTCCCCCAGGACAAGACCTGACCACTCACCAAATATTTAAATTAGTAAGTGTCAACAATCAGCATTTCCAGTATTGTAGCTCTGCATTTCTGAAACTCTCAGGCTCTCATTGGAGCACCCCGCTAACTTCAGCTCCTTTAACTACTGGGTAGGGAAAAGAAAAGAAAAAAAAAAACAAGAAAGTAAAGAAATTATCATTAATTCAACGTCAAATCAGAACATTCATCATATAATATATTCAAAACAATATTAATTTCTTTTTCAAAGTACTATATAACCAGTTTTAAAATCTGTTTTACAAAGATAATTAAAATGTTCATTTAGATTCCATTCCCTAATTAAGACTATTCTGACCTCACTGCAGACAGGCAGGTCTGCCAACACCCTACCAAGGCCCCCAGTCCCGTGGAACACACCGAATCAGCCCGCTGCAGACAGGCAGGTCTGTGCATGCCCTAACGAGGTCCTGAGTCCTGCAGAAGATGCCGAATCACCCCGCTGCAAACAGGCAGCCACCTGATTCCACACTACAAAGAAGCAGAGGACACCAGACCACCAGACCAAGGTACTGAGTCCCACTGTTCCCGGCCCAGAGGTAGGGGCTTCTGAGCC